AATAAAATGCTTATTCTTTTCAAAATTTCGTACTTTTTTTCCATGAAATACCAGAATACACGTATCGGCACAGTAATAGCACTGGCTAGAAAAAAGCTTTACAAAACAAGTTTGCAACCTGGAGAAATATACATCGTTTTGAGAATTTCAAAAAGGAACTTTACATATTGAAAGACTTGTTGGCATAAACCTCGATTTGGTAGTTTTACACTATGTATCAATCAAAAATTATTTACATATTCTTAGAAAGAGGATTGTAAGTGCACTGTGAAATAAATAAGGACCGAGTGAAAAATCAAAGATTAAAAGTAGCCGCAGTGCATGTTCTTTACCTGTTCTTCAAACATAAATATCTCTAATATTTCAAAATCTTTATTTTCCATATTAAACTACCTACACATTTTGGTGCTTAAAAGTAGATTTTGCTTTTGCTTTCTTTAACTAAAGCTCAAAAAGATAGATGAAGTCAGATGAAGCCAGAAAATAAAACCGAATCTATTCTTACAAGTTGAAAATAACTAGGTATTTTTTGCATAACACAATTCTCATCTGGTTAGGCAACCAGTTTGCCCAGTTTCGGTCCAGTGGGATTTGAACTGGCCAAAGCATGTACCCTAAAGACAGAAGTTATTAAGCACAAAGCAAAACTACTATACAAGAGCAGGTACTAAGACTTTCAGCAGAGTGAAATGGCTTGTTTCGAAAAAAGACCTAGTGTACATGCTAAATAGTTCCTCTCAAACATTGATATCTACCTCTCAACAACTTTTCTTGCAAAACACTGAATTCAAACAGCTTCTGAATGTAAAATCTTCCGTATTGAGAATGTCTTTTCCAGAGACTGCCAGAAGAGCATCTGATACTATTAAAAATATTTTAATGTTCTGTAACTTAAAACAGAATAACTGATTTGCACTACTTTTTGTTTCAAAATATACATCTGGGCTGACAATTTATACAGCAGGTTTCAGCTTGAAGCTATTTAAAACAGCTGAGTTATAAACTCTGAAAATTGGGGTTTGCAGTGGAAATGCTGACAGACCCTTAACTACTGTGGTGCTACTGGGGAGAGGTTTTAGACTTCACGTGTCTTTTTTTTTCCCCTGCCTTAGGTCCACTAAGGCTCTTTGCTACTATCAGCATCATACAGAAGCCACTAATAACAAATAACGTGGCAGTTTGGGTCTTTATGACTCTCAGCAAAAACCTCCAGGCAGACACATAAAACGAGGGCCAAACTCTGATGACTCTACTCAAATAAAGTACCTCTGGCTGTGACGATTAAGAAGTGAGTATGATTTGGACTCAGATGCACAAAATCTATTTGTTATATGCCGGAATATCACTAGACAGTTATAGCTATATTAATAGGTATATGTCTAATACTCTTCCCCACAAAACGAGTTTGCATTAACAATCATATTAGTACACTCAACAGGGACTCCTTCCCCAGTGCGTGTAAATATTAATACTTAAAATTCTAATCTAATACTAAGTGAACATTATTTCAAAAAATGATAATCAAACCCAGCACTGTTTATAACATACTTCCTCTCCTGCATATGATTTATATCTGTTTTTTTAAATTAAAACAGTGCTATATCCAGAGTACTTTTTAACTAGAGATCTCTGCGAGAGAATTATGACACACTTAACACACCACTCAAAACATTATCATCAACATACTATTTATTGCCAATAAAACTTCAAAAAGTGTGTGTCTGTGAGCTATTTTACTTTCAAGTTACTGTTCAGCTGAGATTTCTATAGCCCAAATCTGTCTTTTTTTTCTTTTTCAGAGATAATTCCCATTCTGTTATAGCACAGTCAAGTGTTTCGCTGTACGATACATGCAGCTTCTTTGGTCTAAAAGCACTGGAGAGCTGCATACAAGTTACATTTGAAAAATTAAATACTTTTTTTTAAATGGTCAAAATTACTATCAATCAGCTGAGTTTCAAATTAATTTACCAGTAAATAAGGGCGTATCTATCTTAAAAAGTACGTATCGCATACTGCATGCGAAAACACAGACACACTCACACCTGAAGGGTGCAGTGGGCAATACGCTCTCCTGATGCATCAGTAAATGGGTCATATCTGTACCTCCCTGCCAGCAATCGAACACAGGACCCAAATACATGACATGTATAAATATATATATATGTATGAACACAAAAAGATTGGGAAATCCTCTAATCCTTTTATCACGTCAGCATTCTCATGGTAATAATACTCTAAATTAATATTTTGTTTAGATCTTTCCCTTTTCTAATCAATGGCGACTGCATCCTTTGAATTGCTGTAAGGTAGGAGTGAGCTCAGACATTTCAGATGAAAACTGCAATGCGAGGACAATACCGTAAGAGCTCTTGCATCCCTACTATAAAGAGTAACTATAATACCAACTTAATCTAATGCTCAATTAAACTATAATCACAATTCTCCGAAAGCTCCTCCTCCCTACCCC